CTCGATCCCTGTGCTTGTTACTAGTGCCACTTGTTTTATTTTGGTATTTTTTGGAAAACACTGGGGCCAACATTTCCAAACTTGCAAGTTTTACCATTAGGCATCTAATGTCATTTGTAGGCACCTAAATAGAAGTGGCCTGATTTTAAGAAATGCACCCGCAGTATCTTTTAATTTCAGGGATTCAGCACTTCTGAAAAGTAGGTCATTTTTATTTAGATGCCTAAATATGGATTTAGGTACCTAACTCTAGGCACCCAAGTTTGAAAATTTGGGGCAATGTGTCTCTTGTACTTTATAATTTGATGCTGGGCAAATGGACTTTTGGAGCAGCAGTTTCTGATTATGAAACCACAAGGTTAGGCCTGAATTGTCTGAGTGACTGCCTGTCTCCCTGTGATACACCACAGCAAGTGAGACCACTTGGGGAATGTGATAGGGTGCATTGACTCCCCACTGGGACATCCAGGAAAGGGTTAATAGATGGACCCAGTACCCCTCCAGCTGTGACTAAGGAGCCAATTAGCAACAGCTGCCATAGAATGCTGCAGAGAGTACCCTTGAGGAACTACCACAGTAGCTGACTGGAAAGAAGCCATATGAGGAGACAGAATTCCAAGGCAGGAGGAGTGGACTCCATGGCCCTGTGCAAGATGTTGACAAACAGGGAAAAGGTAGGAGCAGCCCAGGCAAGCAGTGAGGGATTGTAAGGAGTTGCACTTGACTGCCTAACACAGGGGTCCTGAGTTGGAACCCAGAGGAGAGGGTGGACCTGGGTTCCCCTCTCCCAGTAAGAGGGGAAATACAAGCCTCAGAGGCAAAGACTGAGTCCCAGATGGGGGCCAAAGTCCTGGCATGAAAGCCATTAGACTTTTTTTTTTCTTTTCTGTTTGGACTTTTCTGTTAGTCCAGTAGGGGACTGAACTGAAAGCTGACTCGACTGGAGGGCAGGCCATGTAAGCTGCAGACTGCCACAGCATAGCTGACAGGCAACACAGAGCAGAAGAACCCATGCAATGCCATGTGCTGGCCAGGGGCGGCTCTATGTATTTTGCTGCCCCAAGCACGGCAGTCAGGCAGCTTTCGGCAGCGCGCCTGTGGGAGGTCCGCCGGTAACATGGATTCGGTGGCATGCCTGTGGGAGGTCCGCCAATCCCGCAGCTTCGGCGTACTTGCCGCCGAATCCGCGGGACCGGCGGACCTCCCGCAGGCATGCCACCGAAGGCTCCCTGACCGCCACCCCCACAGCGACCGGCAGGTCACCCCCCGCGGCTTGCCACCCCAGGCATGCGCTTGGTGCGCTGGTGCCTGGAGCTGCCCCTGGTGCTGGCATGAGGGGGTGCTTTGGCAGTGAGTTTGCTCTGTGACACAGAGACTGAGATAAAAGCCTCTAGATTTAAGGATGAAAGGGCTAGAGACTGGTGGTTCTCAGGAGGTAGGTCCCTGGAATTCACTTCCCCAGTCCTTCCAACAGATCCCTTGTTTGTTAGCTTTCAGGGCATAGTGCAGCTTTCCCCAGGAGATGTTGGCTGGGCTGGGGATGTGAACTCCAGAGGTGGGACCCATCCATTGAGAACTACCTTAGGTATGTCTACGTGGGCTAGCTTTTACCTGGCTAGCTTTGGTACCAGAGCAGGTTTATACAGCCAGGGCAGAACAGGCTGCCTAAACCTGCCTGGAACCATGGGTAATAGCTCATGTGGCTAGTCCGCACTGAAGCCTGTACTGTTGTAGCTTTATTGCTCTGGTACCTGAGCTAGTTAAAGCTAGTGTGAGTTTGTTAACGTAAGCTGCCATCCCAGCTCATGGTTGCAGGGTAGACATACATTCAGGTGCACAGGGAAGGTGACTGTTGTTTGGGGAAGACAAGCCTTTTATTCTACTTCTGAAAAGAAGTAGATTTGTGTATTTCTAAGTTTATATGGGGCATTTTATATGTCTTAAAAATAAATACATACTCTGCAAAGTCATAGGGAAAGTGGTGCAGAACATACACTTCATTCAGATAGTAAGGAAACCGCAGTTGCAAATTAAAACTCTCTGCTGGCCTCCTGCTGTTTGTAGTGGGGGACTTGCCTGGTGGACATGGCAGAAGTTAAGAGATCATCTAAGTAAACTCTGGTCACATCAGCTGATGCTCACATGGCCAAAGCAACAATGCTTGATATCCCATTTAAAAACCTTTTTATACCTGGTGAGATTGTTGATGATATTAAGTGTCAAGTAACATTGAGACTCCTGAAGTAGGCATATCTGGATGTATTTAAAAAGCTGTCAAGAGAGATTATTTCTGTAACACAGTAACAGAAAGGACATCTATTGCAGGTGGTGACATCTTCAAAATCACAAACTTACTCCACAGTGTTCTACCTATGATATTTTAGAAAAGCTATCCCTAGATGTTTTGGTAATTACATCTGGTGAAGCATCTAGAGCAGAAGCAAGTATCTTATTCTAAATATTCAAAAATGATGTATAGAGTGTATTGTTTGAGTAAGGTTTTGGTTGAACTAGCTTTCCATTTGGACTTTTCATTACGGAAGAAGTTCTCCAACTTCAGGTTGGTCATAATAAATTTTCTTAAGAAAAGAGACTTTGTCTCATCTCTCTACACAACGTCCTCTTTACAAGAGGGAGATTCTATCCTTTGAACCTGAGTCAGGTCAGACTTGAATATGGCTTCAGTTCTGTCATTGGTGTTTCTTGAACAGCTTTCTAGACTCAGATTTTTACTCTTTAGCCTCAGTGAGCTAAATTCTCCCTTTTTGATATATTGGAGTAAATCTTGAGTAACTCTATTGATTTCAATGAATCTTCCCAAAATGGTGTAGGTGAATGGATGTTGCTGCTGCTTTGCTGCTAGCACCAAAGTCTGGATATTCCCTTCTAATTTGACTAGTTTGTAAATTAGCTGAACTACTTACTATTTAGAATTTAGCACATAGTCAGGCAGGTGTTTCCTAGTAATGGTGTCACAAAAGGAATGTATTAGATGTACCATTTCATAGGTTGCAGTGGCATCAAGACATGCCAGGAGCTTTTCTTTCAACACTGCTAACATCATCCCCAACTAACCTGGTAGGGCTCTGCTATTTAATACCCATCATCAATACATGAAGCAATATTTTATCCAGGGAATCAGAGCTATAATATCTTTGGAGCAGAAGTCCACTTGGAAGCAAAAAAGAAAAAAAGTATGCCCATTTGAGACACTACACTGAGTAGTGCCTCTTACTGTAGACTGTATGTATAGTCAAACTATACCAGGGGTGCCCTGCAGGGCTCCAATGGAGTCTTCTGGCTTGGCTTCCCCTTAGTGAGGTTCAAACACACCCAGGGGCTTTGCTGAGCTCCTAAAGCTTGTCTTCCCTTCAGTGGTGATTATATGCACTTCTGGGCTTGACTCTCCCTTGGTGGGACTTAGATGTCCCATTGTGCTCTGTTAGGCTCCTTGGGTTTGACTCCTTCCTATATGGGGAAAATACATAGTGGTATACTCCAAAGTGCTACCCATTCATGAGCCATCACTCTTAGTAGATTGGGCAGATCTTGAGTATGTGATCATCCCTCTTCATTCTTCCCAGATTTTGAGCAGTGCAATATCTGACATTTCAGCATATCAACATTGGGCATCTGAATTAACACCTCACTGAGAGGAATGGAGAAGTTTCAGGCTGACTCAGGCAGAGTCACTGCATAAATTCCATTTGGTTCACATTTTCAAGGTTTTTTTTCCTCCCACAACCATAATACTTAGAGACTTTGGGTTGTTTGTTTTGTTTGTTTTGTTTAAAGGCATCTTAGACACTAGAGCATAATATGGCTGCCTGGAAAGGTATTAAGATGTTGTACTGTCATACAATTTAACCCCTTTGGAGTGCAAAGACACTGTACAGTAGTTGTTCTTAGTGTTACTGGATAGTGTACCTCTGGATAATTTCTAAGTGTTATGAATAATCCTTGTGATTAGATTTCCATTTTTGTGGTTGTTGTTGGATGGGTTTTGCTGGGGATTGCTGGGGTGTGTAGATCATTGTAAATTACTATTTCAGAGTATTTCTTTTTTTGAGGATGGATAGTGGTGTTATGTATTATTTGTTGAGCGTTGATAATGTTCTTTCAGTGACACTTGCATTTCTCTGGCCAGAATACCTGGTTTACAGCTCTACTTTCACCAACATTACATTCAATAAAATATATACTCAGCATGTCAGACTTATTTAAGATACAACTCTAAAGGATGAAGAATGAAAGATATTAAATCGTCACTATTGTCACTTCTATTTTTGAGCAAGGAAAAACCTATGAAATGAGTAGTTATGTCATCTCCACTCCTTTACTCTGAATAGATATTTTTTCCCCTTTAAGGAATGAACAGTTTACTCCCTGCCCCTTCCTGACTCTGCCCATTTGTTTTGGAAGGTTGATGTCATAACACGTTATTTTGATTTTTCTTGGTATGATAGCTTTTGGAACATGTTGGGGTTTTATTTTGGGAGGGGGGTGACTTTCATTTTGTTGTGTTCCATTTGTTTCTTTTAGCTTTACAGACCTTCTTAGTTTAGAAACACTTAATTATTAATAGGTATTTTCTCACTGGATGATTAACAGAAAACAAAACTCCTACTAGCAAATACTTTCCATTGTACAGCAATCCAACCATACCAAAGATACTTTCCATTCTCAGTCCTGACTTCCTACAAATATGGAACGTACACCCCATGAATTATGCTGGAATCATGCATATAAAGCTGTATTTGACTTAGTATTCCTACATCACCTGGCCAGTCTAATTATGGGCACTATGCCCAATTGAATAACACTCACTTTACAGACACTGTTACACACCTTAATACATATAAAGCTTATCAGTAAAATCAAATAGAAACTGCTAGCTCTTGCAGATTATTTACTTTACTGAATTCCCCTGTTGCTTAGGATAGTGAATTCAACTAAATAAACAAGGAACTATTAAGCACAAAAGCAGTAAAGCTTGTCACCTGAAACTCCAGTGTTTCAACCAGCCTCTACCAGCTCCAGTCCTCAGGGACAGTGCACTGCACGGGTAAACCTCCTGTGTGCAGGAGATGGGGATTTCTTTGGAGCCATCCAAGATTGTTGTGCTTACTCACTTGGAACCTAATGACCACCTCATATCTTGCCACTGCCCAGTCCAAGGGCAAGGCACCCTTCTTCAATGTTGCTTTTACTCATAAAAGCAAACTGCAATTTTTTTACTAGGGAGAGGAATGGAGAAGAAATATCACCCAATGACTTTTAGTCACACTGCTTTCAATGCTGCTTGGCTCAAACACCAATTAGCAAGGGTATACATTCTCAAGATCTTTCAGAATCCATGCCCATTCCTTGTGTCTAGGGCACCTATACATCACTGGGATGTACTCTGGGAATGGTATTCAATTTTGTGCTACCCTTGGATGCCCAATTGGTAGCAATAGTGAGAAATGTCTCTTGTTCTACTTTCTGTTGATAAGACATCCATGCCCACTCTGAAACATGGAAGTCTGAGCACAGCAATTCAAGCGTTTGTTATCCTTTTTACCTGGGTATCACGCAGTTACTGCAGCTGGTCCAGGATGCAGCAACCATCTTCAACACAAGAGAATATTACACTGCCACTCATTACACTGGCTCCCAGTAAGTATTGGTTCTAATTCAAGGTCTGACTCCTAGTCCTTCCATGCCTCAATAGGCTAGAGCCTGATGAGGTGAAGGACTGCCTCTCCTGCTTCAGCTCTAAAATACTGTGATTACCAGGCAGGCGTGAGCAGCTGTTGGCACCCAGCACAAAGTTCATCAGAGCAGTCAAGAGGCATCCTTGGTGAAGGACACCCAGTTGTGGAACTTTGCCATAGAAGAACTTTCAGAACGCAAAATTCATCCATTCATACTCAGCTTAATTTAGGAGAGGAGGCAATATACCCACACTCACTAAAAACAATGAACCTACAATCTCCAAGGTGGAGCAGATACCATCAGCAAACCAGGACTATGCAGGTGCTTGATACTGACATGCATACACAAACCTAACTTTATATTTGATTAATTTTAGATAGAGGTCTTTGGTAATGGAGAAGAAAAATATAATGCATTAGTAATGTATATTCAGGGCTATATATACCTTGTCTTGGTATTTTTTTCTTTATATAAACCTTGAAATTGGAAGTTAAATGTAAACAAGTAGATAGTATCATCATTATCACAACTGGATATGGAAGGTAATGATGCTGACCTATATGCATGATAGCAGATAAGCACACCTAAATCTGCCATGATTTATGGTGCTGCATGTAGCCCCTTTTAATTGTGTCAACTTCCTTTTCATTATCCCCTTCACTGACATACCTTTTCTTTCTCACATGGTCTTAATATCAGTAGAGGAAGTGGCTGACCTGTTTGTTTTTGTGTCTGCAGATGATGGGAGCTGTATGCATGTACTTACTTACTATAGCTCTGGCTGTAGAATTCTGTGTTACTTTTAAGAAATACTCATGATTAATGGGTGTGTTGTGTGTCTTCCCACTCCTTTTGCCTCTTCTTGCTAGGAGCATTTATATTTAATAAGAGTTGGCAGCACTAGTAGGCCAGCACTGATCTACCTTAAATTTTTTGTTTATAAAAATATTCTGTTGGGAGATACACTTTCTTTATTATTCCACCTATCTAGGAACAGCGGTAGCGAGCCCCTTTGATAAAGTGGAAAGTTATTGCTGAAAATAACCCTAACTTCTAATTACAGCGGTATTCGGGGAATTGCGGTAGAGATCCTTACGCCTTCTATAGCAACTGCATATTAGGTCTATTATTCCCCTCCATGTTAATGGAAGAAACAACTGAATTAAAACTCTTTCGCTTTGGTGGCCAGTTGCCTTCTTCTGATACCTGGGTAAATGGCAGTAACTTTTAACAATACACTTTATCTTCTTGGCAGCAGGAGCTATACATTTTAAATTATTAAATTAAATATGACTAAGACACTTAAAAATACAGATCCCAGTTGCCCTTCCTTGCAAGAAGTGACTGCTCCTGTGCAGTCAAGATACGTTGGTCCAAACCATCAAGGACTGGTATTTGTGTATGGCTGAGGAGATTGTGGCTAGTGAACATTTTGTACATGGCAACAGAGGGTCCTGTGGCACCTTTAAGACTAACAGACGTATTGGGAGCATAAGCTTTCGTGGGTAAGAACCTCACTTCTTCAGTTGTCTTGTATTTTAAGAAATGAGGTTCTTACCCACGAAAGCTTATGCTCCCAATACTTCTATTAGTCTTAAAGGTGCCACAGGACCCTCTGTTGCTTTTTACAGATTCAGACTAACACAGCTACCCCTCTGATTTTGTACATGAACTCAAGAAGGAAACTCTTAGACTTTGATTATTTGGGTAGAATTTCTTTGCTTTATTATAGATTCTATGGAAGTTTGCATAGTGGGATTGTAATTGTGAAAATCCACATGGGATGGGGCATGTTTCCATGGGAGAAGGGCAGATTTTACATAAATAAATAAATATTGCATTTTACTGTCTTTTGAGTTGAATCACTTCTCAGCCTTTTTTAAATATGGCCATTCTCATAACCTAGTCTAAGCTCTTATGCTTTCCATAGCTGAGGTAGAAGGATTTTGCTTCATGTACAGGTTCATGGCTTGGATTGTGACTTCAAAGACTTGTGGCTCCAGTGTGGTTTTCTTAGATCTGTGGGAGTGTAATGCCCTGGTTGTTGTGTAAAACTCTACCGCTACTAGCAGCTAATTGATTGTGCATAGATGTGTGTGTGCCAGGAATGCCTGAGTTCTAATCACATCTCTGTCACTGACTCACTGTGTATGGCCTTGAGCAAGTCATTTGATCTTTCTGTGTCATAGCTTCTACATCATTTTAATGGGATAATGATACCTACCTACTTCATAGAATTGAGGTCAGGAATAATTAGCTAATGTTTGTACAATGCTTTTGAAAATATAAAGAGCTCTATGTAAAATTATTCTACTTTAGCTCAAGCTGTAAAGCTGTATTTTTTGGAAACATCTATGTGGTTTAGCTGGCAATTGTGCAGTTTGTACAAGTATGCAGACATCGATCATTACAGATTAGCATCTGGCTGCTGGGTAGCACTCCTATGACCTCCATATGCTCTCTAGCTTTATCTGGGAAGAATATGTAACATATTGGCTTGTAACATATTGGCTTGTGTGCATTGCATACCACTACCCTCTACTGGACAGAATCAGATTTAAGAATTTGTGTTTGTCTTGCTGTTTTGTGATTCGGACCTTTCAAAGAATAGAGCAAACTTTTTTTTTAATTGATTTTTTTTTAATTTGACTTTTTTTAAAAATACATTTGCTTTGTCTGTGCTCATGCTTTTTCATCTTCTCCTTCCACAAATATTAGAGTAGTGTGAATTTTGTTGGCATGAGTGTGTTCATGAAAACTGAATATTGCAAATACACCAGCTTGAATAACTGTTCCAGAAGCATTTGTGCACTCATCCAATCAGTGAACAAAAACAACACCCTGTGACTTCTCTGGCCAATTACTGCTAAGCAACAATTCAAAGTTTGAATAATCCAAAAAAATTCTATAAATAAGTTTTTAAAATGAATACATATGGCAAAGTGACAAAAGTCTGATGGAGAATCTGAGGAGAGATTAAATTCACTGACTAGTTTCTTTGTTTGCAAATTATGTGCACGGTTCTGGTGTTGTACACTCCCCCCCCCCCCCCAAGTGCTCAACTCCTTGCAGAATCAAGCTCTTATTGAAGATGAATCTGTTCCCTGAAAAAGCTATTCTATTGAATTAACAGTTGTGCATGTTGCATAGATGTGGGAAGAAAGTAACTTATTTTCCTCTGATTTTATTTTCTGATTTTTCTGATTGGGTTAGAGTCACCAGTGACCAATGACCTACAAGAGGTCAGGGAAGAGGTATGTTACATTTGGAACCAGCAGAAAAGGAGATGGACACAGGAAGCAGATAGAAAAACTTGTCTGCCCTTTATTGTTCTTGCAGCAAAACTAACACAAAAGTGAGGCTTTGCTCTAGAGTTCTTAAACATTTAAAGGGAGAGGATGTCACAAATCCAGACTTCCAAGGGAGCAGTGGGGGCAAAAAATCTAACTGGCTTCAAGACTGAGCTTGATAAATTTATGGAGGGGATGTATGATGCCTACAGTGGCATGTGGCCTATTGGCAATGCCAGTAGCAAAAATCCCCAACTGCTGGATATGGAACACTAGATGAGGAGGGCTCTGAGTTACTACAGAGAATTGCCTGCATGCTCTGAGTGTAACTGATCACCAAATCTGGGGGGAAATTCCTTCCTGACCCAAAGTCAGATTGGCAGAGACCCTGGGAGTTTTTTGCCTTCCTCTGCAGCATGAGGCAGTTTCAAGGTTTAAACTTGTGTAAATGGTGGATTCTCTGTAACTTGAGGTCTTTAAACCATGATTTGAGGACTTCAGTAACTCAGCCAGAGGTCAGTAGTGGGTGAGGTTCTGTGGTCAGCAATGCGCAAGAGGTCAGACTAGATGATCACAATGGTTCCTTCTGACCTTAAAGTCTATGAGTCTGATTCTAAGTTAGGCAGCTGGCATGCTGAGGTTACTGCCCATCATGCTGACTAGTATCTGTTTCCTTGTGTTCTGTATCTGTCTGTGTCCACCTAAGCTCCTTGGGTCAGGGATATTTTTGTGTGTGTGTAAAGTGCCTTGCACAATGGGGATCAACTGACCAGCCAGAAGAGCTATAGGCCTGTGGGCACATACTCACACAGTGCCTCTAACCCTTACCAAGTCATGGGAATGGACACTTACAGTCTGAACTGGGCAGGAATGATCATTCCATTTCACAGACAATTTCAAGACTTTGTAATTTATTTTCATACTGACATGGACTGTCAGAACATCACTGAAATCAAACTGTCTCTGCAAAATGTTTCAAACTCAATAAACTGGCAAATTCAGACAAAAATTTTATTTGAATTTTTCTGACCAGCTCACTTATGCTTATGGTCCAATGTCCTTATACACAAGTTCACCTCCACTGCCTTACAATGCATGCTTTCTTATAATCTACCTACTGTGATGGGGTCAGGCCAGATGGCTATAGGAGAGTGATCCTATTGGGTGCTGGAAAGTGGGTGGGCATAAGCCTGCTCACAGCTAAAAGTCCCTCCCCAAGCCTGGGGAGGAACTACTGAGCCCAGAACTCAACTAAATTCGGGGGACAACAAAGGAAAAAAACAGGAACAGGCATGAGGGTCAAAGAGCCAAAACTGGGGAACATGAAGGGACACTGAGCAGAGAACCCCGGACAGCACCCACTGCTCCTCAAAGGTATCCAAGGAGCCAGCGGACGCGGCCCAGAGGAACTCTGCCCAGAGACAAGAACGGATAAAAGAACGAAAACAGGCCGCACAGTCACAGAGCCCCTCCCTCAGCCAACCTCCTCTCCCTGGTGTTATAAATGGCCACCTTGGCCATAGCTAGGAGGAGGTTGATGAGGAGGTCCCTCGACTTCATGAGGCCACGAATAGGGTATGCATAAATAAACAGGTGCGGGGAAAAGTGCAGCTAGAACCTCAATAAGAGGTTCTGGAGGAGCCGGAAGAGGGGCTGCAATGCACTGAAAATACACGTGCGCCAGGGTCTCCCTCACACCATACAAAAGGCAGGCTTTGGGGATAGGGATGAGCTGATATCCCTGGCGTGCCATGGAACTGGGTAGGATACAAGCTGGCCCACCAGGGTTCCCCACCCTCCACAGC